TTACCGGAGGTACAAAATTAAAACACTTGGTAGAAGGATTAGAGGTGACATGAGGAAAACCTTTTTTCACCAAAAGGGTGGTGGGTGCCTTGAATTTGCTATCCAATTTAGTTGAGGCAGAAACCATCAACTTATTTAAAAGCAGTTTGGGTCTGCTGCTGAGGCAATGGCTTAGTGGTATTATTGCTGGACTGTTAATCCAGAGACCCAGGGTTTGAATCCTACCATGGCAGGTGATGGAATTTAAATTCAATAAAATATCCGGAATTAAGAATCTAACAAGACCATGAACCCATTGTTAATTGTTGTAAAAACCCATCTGGTTCACTAATCCATCTTTAACTGGTCTGGCCTACGTGTGATTCCAGACCCACAGCAATGTGGTTGACTCTTAACTGCCCTCTGGGTAATTAGGAATGGACAATAAATGCTGCCTAGCCAGCGATGCCCTCATTCCCATTAATGAATAAAAAAACCCTGCAAGTATGCAGGCCAGATATTGTGAAGTGTGTTAGAATTAATGACTGGTCAAATTGGCTATCATTCAGCTGGCATTCTATCATCTATCCGTTAGCAACAAGAGTTTCTCTGAATAGATTGTTTTAGAATGCAAAAATTACTTGAAATGGTAGTATTTACTGAAATCCTGCCTGGATTTGGTTGCAGTATGTCTATTAAGACTTAATAGTCAAGAAGAATCAGCATTGTGATTGACAAAATAAAATCTTGGATTTTCTTTTTAAGGGGTTTTAAGAGACGTGCTCCTCGTGCCATTAAGGAGATCCGTAAATTTGCAGTGAAGGAAATGGGTACTCCTGATGTCCGCATTGATACTCGATTGAACAAGGCTGTTTGGGCTAAAGGTGTAAGGTATGTAATGGACAGGAGATAATTTCTAAAGTTACTTGTATTTCACAAACATCTTAGAATAGATAGCATGTGCAAGACCAGTTAGTTGTACTTCCTAAATCTTTCAATGGCTTTATATTAAAACATGTTTCTTATTCCTGATAGTTGGGAGAGATTGGTTTTATTGTTTAAAGAAAGCATGATGGGTGTTCAAGATCTGTTTCCCATGTTGCTGACTTTTCTGCTTGTTTTTGTGCTTCTGTCAGGTGCAAATCAGACAATAGCTTTAGTCATAAAACATACAGATTGGGAGTAGGCTATTTGCCCCCTTGAGTCTGCTCCATCATTGAATAAGATGATTGTAAATTCAAATCTGCATTCCTGCCTACCCCTGATGATCTTTCACCCCCATATTTAACAAGAATCAATCACTTTAGCCTTTCAAAAAAAATTATACTCTGCTTACGCTGCCTTTTCAGGGACTTCCAAAAACTCATAGCTATTTGAGAGGAAAGGAAAGTCGGCCTCATCTCGGTTTTAAATAGGCAAACAGATTTTTAAACACATCCCTTATTCTAGATTCTCCCATAAAATAAAGCATCCTCTCCACATCTATCCTGTTGAGGCCCCTCAAGATCTTGTAAGTTTCAATGAAGTCATTGAAACATCAGAGCTTTGCAATGTCTCGCCATTTCAAATGTGCTTTATTACCATTCCTGTCAAAGGGACAGCTTCACATTTTCCCACCTTGTACTGCAATTGCCATATCTTAACCCACTCACATAACCTACTTATGTTTTTTTTAGTCTCTTTGTCCTCTTCACAACTTACTTTCCTACCTATCTTTGCATCAGCCAGTTTGGCAACCATACCTTCCATCCCTATATCCATTTCATTTAAAGAAATTGTGAACAGTTGAGGTCTTGGCATCAAACCCTGTGGCATATCACTTATATTTTGCCAATCTTCTGTCAATACTTGCATCCTGTTTTGTGATAACAGATGTCAAATACCTGTTAATTTATTTACCATTTCAGGCATTATATTATTTATTCTCCAATTTAATTTTATATGAACCATAATACTTAGGCACAGAAGTAAGCCAGTCAGCCCATCGAGTCTACTTTGCCATTCACTGAAATCAAGGCTGTTTTGGTAATCCTCAACTCCACTTTTCTTGCCTTTTCCCTATAGCTCTCTAAAAATCTATATCTCAGCCTTGAAAATAATTAATGACCCTGTCTCTACATCCCTCTCTGGCAAAGAATTCTACAGGTGCACTATCCTCAGAAGTAGTTGCTTCTCATCTGTCTTAAATGTGCAACCCTTAACACTGAGATTATGCTCTCTGGTTCTCGATTGTCCAGAAGGGGCAACATCTGTATCTACCCTGTCAATTTCCCTAAGAATCTTGAACATTTCTGTAGGTTCGCTTCTAATTCTTCTAAACAATGAATACAGGCCTGACCTATCCAACCTCTCTTAAGATAGTCTCTCCCTACACTGGTTTCTCAATGTATTCAGAAGAAACGTTTAATGTTGGGTTTGACTGAATATTGGATTATTCAAATGCATATTAATACCTCAGCTAATTGTTTGAGCCCCAGCCTTCCACTAGAATCAAAATTGAGATTTAAGACCTCCTTACAGTTAGCTGTTGATGCATCATATTTGCTCATTTGAGAGCGCTTTTTGGGAAGCATTTGATATTACTGGGTATTCTATTGTAGAACTTAGCTGTGAATTCTTACCTTTTACCTAAGGTGAGTTACTGAAAGCTAAACATAATGGGTCAAGTTTGAATGATTGTGCTGAACAGAAAGTTTAATAGAATTTATACTGGGAAAAGATTGATTCCTCTCAAATCTAGATTGGCAGTGAATTTAGTACAACTGCCTAAACCTATGTGTTTATTTTTGTAAAGGTAATTGCCTCTGCTTTTCACCAGATGACCTTCGAGCATGACCCAACAGAGATTGCTTAGAAAAGATTGCAAATCCCTCTCGGTGATTTTTCATTTCCAATTATCACACTTTCATCCAGGTGCAATATTTGGACCCATGAGTATTCACCATATAAATCATTACCTTTTGTGTAGATTCCAAGTTGTATAAATCTAGCATTGTGGATATTCTAGTCATACAAGTTATATATTGATAGTAGTATAATGCCAGTTCTTGACTACAGCTATCTTAAGGAGACATGTATGAATTGATTGCAGTTGTACCAGCTTTGAAGAAACTGTCTGATGTAATCCCGCACTTCTGCGTGCACGCCACACACACACACAGTTAGATTTGGCCAATTCTTTTGAAAGTTACAAACAAAACAGATAGCCAGTTAATTATCATTTTACTGGCTAGAATGTATTTCAAGGCTGGGGGATGGGGGGGGAGCCCTTTTTGGCCTTTAAACATCAGGAACGCTCAGCCACTCAAAATTTACTTCAGGCATTGGGCACTGGCCAGTACAGCAGGGACTATTTGCAAAGCAGAAATGCTGCTGCTGCTCTCCAGGTTCTCTACTCAGTTCCTATCTTGCTTTGATTTATATATTTGTATTTATCCTCATTTCCTGTGCCTACTTTAAATTTACTTTAAAAGCAATATGTAACTTTTTTGGCCAAAATATAACACATTCGTTGCATTACCACCCCATCCCTATTTGGTGTCTTAATTCCAAAGTGTAGGTCATTAATATAAAGTGTATAACTATGATCCTAATACAGATCCTCAACTGTTGCCTATTTCTACCTTCTTGAAGCTAACTTGTTTATGATGAGATATAATAGCGAGATTAAGGTTTAAGAGGATATTTTGGATAACAAACATGAAGGCTTGTATATTAAATGTCAGTCATATTGTACAATCATGATACATCAAGTTTGTGTTGGTGATGGGTAATTGTGATAGATCCAGTTCTTAAGTTTTATGTTTAAAATATGAAGCCATAGAATTTCAAAAATTTACACTTCTTCCAGGAATGTTCCATATCGCATTCGTGTTCGTTTGTCCAGAAAGCGCAATGAGGATGAGGATTCTCCTAACAAACTTTACACGTTGGTAACCTATGTTCCTGTCACATCCTACAAGGGTAAGTTGGAGCAAATTTAAAGATCAGTTGATAAAAAAGGATAGCTTGCTAATGGTCCAAATTAATGTGTGGCTGAGCTTATGTGCCGGTCCTGTTTATCATGGTTCCAGGTCTGCTATAATAATTACCCTACCATCCTAAAGTCTTTTTGCTTTGAAGGCAGGAGATCATCACTGTCTAGTGATCTACTGGAACTAATCTCATACATAAAAGTCTGTTGAACTGTTGAAAGTCTGTGGCTTTTAAAGGAAAAACTCTCCTGTTGATTTATTCTGTAATACTCCCCATAATTCTGTTTAAAATCTGCTGTGTGATGGCTCCATGCATAACCAGTTTTACTTATTGGTTTCACAAGGAACAAGTAACCTATCAATCATACTTGAATTAATTCAAAAACTACTGGTGCCTGAAATTAATCCTCCTTGCTCCCAAGGAAATGGCCTGTTCCAATAGCTGAAGTTTAAAATCTTAACGATCCTGCCAACAGCTTGGATTAGAAGGAAGCTTTGTTTTAAACTCAATCTAAACAACTGCAAGACTGGAATAAAGACATAATTATGGCAGAAATAAAACTCAGCAGGCGTAGCAGCATCTGTGGAGAGAAAGCAGTGTTTCAGGTCCAGTGGCTCTTCAGTCCCGTTCTGCTGCCAGACCTGCTGAGATTTTCCAGCGTCTGCAGTTCTCTTTTGTTTATTGTGGCAGAATAGATGCTGTCTGAAAGTAGGTTGGATGATACTTTTAGGACTGCTAATAGTTTTGAAAAAAGTAATTCTGTTGTAGTTGTTGAAGAATTGACTAATGCCAGTATTGTTAGTTAAAATGGTGACTTTACAGGTTATTAAAATGCCATTAACTGGCTGGAACTGGTCTGGGGCATCAAAATATATAATTTAGATAGACAACCAGATTAACATTTAATTTTTTTGTTTTACAGGTCTGCAAACAGTCAACGTTGATGAAAATTAAATTGTAAATGCTTTGTTAAAAATAAAGTTAAAAATGACTGCATACCTTTTTGGGAACCTTTGTAGATCAAACACTAAGCTAGGCACAAAAAGTACTCAAATGAATTTATTCAAAATTGCACATACAATCTGTAAACTTGGACATGTACCCAAACATTTAGGACAGCACAGACTTATTTACAGTAGAACTTCAAGGTTTCAACTGCCAGCGTTGAAACAAATATTTAAAAGGCTAGTGGATTGTCTGATTAATTCTCTGTTGATACTGATTTGCTTTTGCATGAAGGAGTTTACTTTTTACAGCTACTGACCTTTCAAAAAAGTTCACCAAACATTGTTCAGTCAACAGTGAAGCCAAAATTTGCTCAAAGGACACACTCCAGTCATCCTCTCCAGACTGTGAAGGTGGAGGATTATTTTTCAGGCCCATATCCACTCCTTCAGATGGAGCAGACGCTGTGTTTGTAGGTGTCAGTACCTCCGTTTCTTTAGAACTTGCAGGCAGTTTGGAAATACTTCCTGAACTACGTATTTTTTGTCCTGCCTCCCCAATCTGAAGTAGAAGAGTAGTGACTGTAGCAATAGCTTGGTAAAGACTGTTCTCTTCTGGATCTTCTCGAAACATACTGTATAATGTCTTGCAAAACTGGATGAACTCTCTCTGTGTGGGATTAAGTTTTTAAAAAATTGTAAAGTCAGTCACTAAATCCACAGCTCAACAGGCCAAGTGCATAACCCAAGTGCAAATCCGCACAGGTGATTTGTTTGGGAAATAATAGGAGACAAAACTTGAATATGCAAGTATTTGGGTGCATTTTCATTGACTGAGCCTTTTGATAAATAGCATTTGCTGCTGAGAACGTAACTAAGACAGTTGCAGTTACTGAAACTAGTAGATTCTAATTTCATTGTAAATTGGTTTCAAAATAACAATTTGCTCATCTATGAAACCAATGAAGCAACTGTTATTGTTTACATCTGTCGTTTTTAGATCTCATCCAGGCAGAAACTGGGTGAAAGCAAGCACTGTAGTGTGGGGACAGGAACATTCAGTTGCAATGTAACATTAATGAAACTACAGCAAGTGGACCTATAGTTCAGTGTCCATGTATTTGCGGATTGGCCATGGTTCATAGGATAGCCAAATGTGTTTAGTATCAATCTTTAATCCTTACAGCATATATCAATGGCAGGCAGTTGATTTTCCTGGTCAGCCACATGGTGGAAAGAAAATGGGAGCCTCTACCATGACTTTATAGCTTGGCAATACAGCACATACTTGAAAGTATATGTTACCACAGCAACTGGGACCTGGGACTACAGCCAATATAGCTGAGATTGTTGCCAACTGCTCAGTTCTGTCCCTATTCCAGCTGGGGTAGTTTTTGGAGGTATTGTTTTTGCTGTACCCTGGGAGGAGTTTGAAGTGATCTCAGACCTACACTTTGGCAGAGAACTGAAGAAGCAATTGGATAATAAGTCAAAATGGAAATGCAAAATGGTGTAATTTTATTGCAGCATAAAAGCTTGGACGAGATTAAAAACTAGCAGACTTCAGTCTTTGGCACCAAACTCCGTGGACAGTTTATCTTTTGCATTGGGTTCAAAGGTTAAAATCAATAATATTGGGATTAAAGGGGGGCTAGCTGCATGAACATGAATTACCTGTATTCCTTCTGAAATACTACCAGGATTTTTGAATGTGGCTCTCACCCACTTTCCCCTCGTTAGAGGTATTCTGGCACTGCCTACACAGAAAAGTTTATTTTTGTTTTTAACAAAATTTTTAGGTTTTTAAAAATTAAATGATAAACATACCTGATTCATCAATGAAAGATCTTTTGTGGCTTCCTTTTTTCTTTTAACCAAATCTTCAAGCATTTTTTTCAATTGGTGTTGGTAATTGGTTGATCCACCTTTTAATAATAGTTTGTTTAATTAGTCTGCATATCTGTACACATCAAATGTAAAATAACCAATGTAGCAGCTGGGTTCTTTGCCTTTCTTCCCTAATCAACCTGTTCAGAGATGTTGCACACCTCTGGAGCATGTGGGACTTGAACCCATGGCAGGGAACATTACCACTATTATGATTAACTTAACAGGTTTCACCAATTCATAGATGCTCATTGTAAAATTTAATCTTTTAGACCTTGTCCACCAAACAATTAAAATGGAGGAGATATAGGTTTGCCACAAGCTAAAGGTTTGTAAATAATGGATTTCAGGTTTCAGTTCTGTGAAGGTACTTTTTCTTACTGAAAACGGGCCAGAAAGTCAAATTTGATCAGCAAGTTCAAACATTTCCAAGACAGCATGTGACTTAAATTCAATTAAGTATCAGCTACTGAGCGCTTCACTGGTAACTGCAGAGGTTTTAATGACCTACACATAAATAAACGATCAGAGGCCATTGGTAGGTTGGGTTCAGAAGAAAACAGTCCTTCTGCTGGCATGACTTTTCATTTGTCAAAATCTTTAGGCAGAGTTTAGTGTCCAGGTTGAGAGCTTGAGAAAGTTGTCTGGTTGTCAGAACAAATATGCAAAAATAAAACTATTAAGACAGGTTTCACTCTAGAATCTTATTTGTCCAGTATGACCAATCATAACACTGGAAATATACAACCCCAACAACACTATCTATTTGAATGCTAACAGCCATCTCTAGATCTAATGTTCTGATTCTTAGCAAGAACCCCCAGGGGCCTGACTTGTCATTCACAAAACTTCAGTAAAATGCTTTTACCAGGCTATACCCGGATGCCAAGCCAATTTGTTATTCCAGCATTATTCCGGTGAATAAAAGAATCCCAGCCTTTGCTCGATCACAGATACCTCCCTCATCTTGTGGTGTCAAATACAAGAAATCCCTGTTTTGCATTTTTCTATGCTAGTGGTTATTTAATGAGACCTGTATTTTTGTTTAATAGGGTGAGTCTTTCTTAAATTCATTTTGTGCCTGTCTAGCTGGTTATGCAATTAGCTCCATTTTGGAATGGCTTCTCTTGGTTCCCAGTCCTTCCAAAACAACTGGACAACATGACAGCTTGAACCAAAATAAAAAGTCACTGTTTTAAAGAAAAGTAATTTTAAAGAATTATGATTTGGAAAGTATGGACTACTCCCCATCAATAATTTTGAGTTAGGAAGTAATATTTTGGTTTCATAACTTTGGATAACAGTTTAGAAAAACACAAAAAACAAAGCTAGGCAATAAATATGCACTTGCAGTTTGATTTGTTGAGGTAGTCAGGTTGTACACTGGAAACAAAGGTAGTCCTCAAAGGAGATAGGTTATCTATGTCATCATCATTGTAGGCTAGGAACAAAAGCAAGAATAAATTTCATGGATCAAACATTCAAAATTCAATGCTGCATGTAAATGAAAGTGACAAATATCTGTGGGAGGCTTTATAAAATTCATATTTTGATGAAATATCAGACATTACCACTACTCCCCCACCTCCCCTGGGAGTCTGTTGGTAATGTCAGTGAACCCAGGAATGGGAAGCTTAACATTTGAGGACTCTGGGACTATACTCATTGGAGTTTAGAAGGATGTGAGGGGATCTAATTTAAACTTACAGAATACTGAATGGCCTGGTCAGAGTGGATGTTGGGAAGATGCTTCCATTGGTAGGAGATTCTAGGACCCAAGGGCACAGCCTTAGAGTAAAGGGAACACCTTTTAGAATGGAGATAAAGGAGAAACTTCTTCAGCCAGAGAGTGGTGAATCTATGGAATTCACTGCCACAGAAGGCTGTGGAGGCCAGGTCATTGAGTACATTTAAGACTGAGATAGACAGGTTCTTGATTGTTAAGTGGATCAAGGGTTACGGGGAGAAAGCAGGAGAATGGGGTTGAGGAACTTATCAGCCACGATTGAATGGCAGAGCAGACTCAATGGGCCGATTGGCCTAATTTCTTTTGCTATGTCTTATGGTCTTATGAACCCAGACTAATGTTCTGGGTCTAATGCTAGCCTAATGGCAACCACAGTTGATCATCATAAAAACTCTTCACTCATATCCTTTAAGGAAGGTAATCTGGCCTACTTGTGACTCCAGATCCACAGTCATGGAATTACCAAAATAAAGACAAAAAAAATTTGGTGCTTCTTCCTAAAATGCCTCTCAGCAACGTAAATATGCTCCAGTGGTTTTTCACCATTGAGTGAACATCCCAGGCAGCCAAGGAATTAAGTAATTTCCTTTCAAGACTAGCTCAGTGTAGAACACCTGCACAACAATCAGGACGGTGAGGGGAAAAGTGATTTAGCAATTAATACTAAGCAAAGCTACAAGTTTTTAAAAACTAGCTTCCCAGCAGATTTTCTACTGTTAGCTTACCAACTAAAATGACTTGTATTTACATAGCACATTTACAATGAAGCAAGGCCCATCCAAAAAAAAACTTCATGTTAAACTAGACTAATGAGTAAAGTTGGATCACATGGGATCCAGGGCGAGCTAGCCAATTGGATACAAAAGTGGCTTGAGGAGGAGACAGAGGGTGGTGGTGAAGAGTTGTTTTTCAGACTGGAGGCCTGTGACCAGCAGTGTTCCACAGGGATTGGTACTGGGTCTGCTTTTCTTTGTCATTTATACAAATTATTTGAATGAGAATATATGAGGCATAGTTAGTAAATTTGCAGATGACACCAAAATTCATGGTATTGTGGTCACTGAAGAAGGTTTAAGACAACAAAGCGATCTTGATCAATTGGGTCAATGGGCTGAGGAGTGGCAGATGGAGTTTAATTTGGATAAACGTGAAGTATTGCATTTCGGTAAAACAAACAAGCAGGACTTAGGGCCCTGGGTAGTTGTTGTAGAACAGAGAACTAGGAGTTCAGGTACATAATTCATTGAAGTCACAGGTAGGCAGGGTGGTTAAGAAGGTGTTTAGCATGCTTGCCTTTATTGCTCAGACCTTTGAGTATAGGAGTTGGGATATAATGTTGAGTTTGTACAGTACGTTGGTAAGGCCACTTCTGTAGTACTGTGTGGGTTTCTGGTTGCCCTGTTATAGGAAGTATATTATTAAACTGGAGAGGGTTCAGAAAAGATTCACCAGGATGTTGCTAGGAATGGAGGGCTTAAGTTATATGGATAGGCTGGGACTTTTTCACTTGAGCATGGGAGATTGAGGGGTGACTTTATAGAGGTATATAAAATCATAAGGGGTATAGATAAGTTGATTAGCAACTTTTCCCTAAGATTGGGGAGTTCAAAACTAAGAGGCATTTTTTTTTAAAAAAGGTGAGAGGAGAAAGATTTAAAAAGGAAATGAGGGGGCAACTATTTTACACAGTGGTTAGACTGTTGAATGAACTGCCAGAGGAAGTGGTGGATGCAGGTGCGGTTACATTTAAAAGACATTTGGATAAGTACATGAAGAGGCAAGGTTTGGAAGAATACAGGCCAAATACGGGCAAGTGGGACTAGTTCGGTTTGGGAACATGGTGAACTTGGACAGAAGGGTCTGTTTCTGTGCTGTAAGACTCTATAAGCTAAAGGTATAGGTATTAGGGCTGGCAACCAAACATGGATGACTGAAGGAAGCAGGAGTGGGGGGTAGACTAAATGGCA